TATGTACTTCCTGTATTGAGTGTGGTAGTCTGGGACTCAGGGATATATTGGAAGTTTTGACTTTCTGTTGTGTTTGGGGTATCTTAGGCAGTGGTAATCTGCTACATGAGTCCATGAATTGCTCACAGCTTGCACAGCCTATTAAAACTTTCTTTTGTTTTCCTGAAATGGATTTTGTTCTCGGTGCATCTTTTTTATGTCTTTTTATTTAAATTTATCTTGGCACATTGCGCTTTCAGCCGGCTAACTCCTACAGATGCAGACATTGGTCTACATGCCATTGTATAAGATGGATATTCTAAGTTATAGCAAGTTTTCATATGAATTCAAGAGCTGACTTGTGTATCAAACTGTTATGGGCACATATGTGAGTAAAAAACGTAAGCGAATAGGTGAGAATGAGATTAAGGGTAAGGATACAAAAAACGGATCTATTATCGCAGCAAGTCAGTACTCGGAACCAGGTGGTTATCAGCCGGTTACTGTCTTACTGGTCTTTATGTATCTTCGTCCTCAATGTCTGTGCTCCTTTGGTGATTCATGAGCATTTGCAACAAAGTTTTCATTTAATTTAGTGTTAGACCACCTCTTTCCAGATGGGTATCTACTTTACCAGCCCAGCTCATGCTGTCAATTTTCCTGACTGATATCTCTCTCTGACAGCAGACTAATACTTTTAATCATCATTGTACCCACATGTTTTTCTTCCTGAATAAGCCTTCATTCCATGGGACAGTCCCATTCATATTCCCATGAGAGGAAACAATAGTTAATTTATTCCTAAATGAACTCCCAAAGCCTATTATGCATGAAGTATTATATGTACTGTAACTGGATTCTCTTTCCTGTTAACAGATACTGCATCTAAGGCGGCAGCTCCATTATTTGGCTGGTTGTAAAGGACAGGAGGCATGTCAAGAGCCTCCATCCCCTTAGCGACGCTGCTGCGACAATCTGCTCACTTGGTTAGGAGATAAGGCCCTTGGAGATCCCACGAGCATACTATTGAGGCAAAAATATATGATTCAATAAACAGACTTACTTCGTGAGGTAGGAGGACATACTAATGATCAAGTAATGGGATTTTGAGAGAGTATTGGAGCCAAGATAGCTGGTAACATCCTGGTTACCGGTCTCTTGGTTCATTATATGTGTAAATTCTTTTGTGTTTATATAATTTTCTTCGACTATGTATCCATTCGGTTCCATTAACCATGAACACCAAGATTCCACTGAACTAGTAAAACACCTGTCAGCCAATGTGGAGACACGGAATAACCTGCTTCTGTGTGGAACTGATAGATTCACATGAGCAAAATTATACAGATGCCAGATCGTAATGAAATTTAAATTGGTATTCACAACAGATATGCTACCCTGTATCCAATTGTCAGACTAAGCTTGCATGAATAATAGCCGGCCACCTGACAGTGAGTGTTGGTAAAAATGCTACTCATCCAATGACATACTTTTTGTGGCACATAGCTCACATTTTGTTGGTAAATTAATAATCAAAATTAAGCATAAATATATGACGTGGTCTTGTATACAAAAAGAGGGAGTACTGAAATTTGTAGCTACTCAATCCTGACTACTTGGAGTGCAAGCCGCTTGTTCCTCTGTGCTGACCTGTAGTGACAGTAGCTCAGCATTTGATATGTTTCGTCTCTACTCCCTCTGTCCCCAAAATAAGTGTCTTAACCTTAGTACAAAGTTGAGACACTTATTTTAAGACGGAAGGAGTACTGTCAAAGAGACGGCCTTTTCAGAAGCTTGTTTTGCATATAAAAGTGTTTAAGAAGCAACCGCTATAAACAGAAGTTGGCGGCTCTAATCCTTGTGATAAGAAATGTTGGGGTGCAGCTATTGCTGACTACTGTGGCAAAACGGACTTGTTGACCAAGGCAGAGAAATCGGGGAATTTCTGCCTTCTGGAAGGGGGTGTCAAGATGAAACGACTTGTTTTACTTGCTTTCCAAGAAGTTGTTTGTTTTGTGGGGGTGGGGGACCTCTGATCTATTCATCTACTGTTAAGTTATTACAAAGAATGATTCAAAAAAGAAAAGATAGTACAAAGAACATCAGAAGGAATTATATACAGGTCCGTAAACCACCTAGCGATGACTACAAGCACTTGAGCGAGTCGAAGGCGCACCTTTCATCGCCTCATCACCGGAGCCGGCAAACCTTGTTGTAGTAACCAGTGAGAAAATCGTCGTGCTAAGGCCCCAGAGGACCAGCACAATAGAACAACAAGCGCCGTCGATGAAGAGAAGCGTAGATTGAAAGAATCCAACCTATAGACATACGAATATAGGCGAACAAAGACCGGATCCTAAGAAATTGTTTCATTAGCGATTCATTTACGCGCGTGTGTGCTAACAGTAAATAAAATAACTAATTATGGGTCCAAAGGGCATGTATGGTGCAGGGTGTTTAAATAATATAGACAACGGAGACCGGATCCTAAGAAATTGTTTCATTAGCGACTCATTTACGTGCATACCGATAGTAAATAAAATAACCGATTATGGGTCTTAAGAGCATGTACAATGCAAGGTGTTTAAAGAGGAGATTGTAAAAATGAATTATTTTTTTAAAATACCGGTGCTTATTTATACAACATGTACTTAGGCCCCTAAGCTATAGAAACAAGCACTGATGCTCAAGCAAAAAATATGATTTATTACAAACACCTTTCTAAGTATCTTGCATTATTATTGAATTCATACTCTAGCCGACTCATCCAAAAGTTCAAACTGATGGAGGGAGGCGGGTAATATATTTCAACACTCCCCCTCATGTCTAGACTATTTTAGTCCTTAGGTGTGGGATTGATGTAGGCCACAAAACCATTTTTATTTAATACTGCGCTGGCAAAGTCTTGAACTCAAGACCTCTTGGTTCTGATACCATATTGAATTCATGCTCCAGCCAACTCATCCAAAAGTCTGAACTGATGGAGGGATGCGGGTAATATATTTCAACAATTGTACATGGTCTAAGTCAACAAATGGTGTGTATTTTTGGTGGCTGCGCAATGCCCTCGTGAAAGTTGTTTCGTTTAAAAAATATATTGTTTTAAGTAGAGCCTAAAAGACATAGTGTTACTTTAGCAATGCCAAATAGGATGACCGTGAGTTAGAAGAGAAATGGAAAATAAAAAAATGTTTTTTGTTAGCAAAAAAATGATATATCTCCAATATTGCTCTAGTTTAACTTAAATCACACTATAATTTTGGGAGCCCATCCATGAATTGATAGAGATTACGCCAATATATATTTCATTTTATATCATGTCTCATGTCTATAGTTGAACTTATTGCAATTTTTTTATCTTTATAGACCATCATATGCATTGTTGAGGAAATCGTTAACCGGTAGCTGCTCGGTTGGCTGGCGAGAAAGGGATTAATAGGCTAATTAATTAGTCATTTAATCAAGTAATCGGTCGTTTACCCTACGAGTAGGGATTAATCAGCAAGTTAACTAGTTAATCGGATAAATTCTTGAATATGGATCATATGTAAGAATGCAGGCGGACGCGTCTGCACCTGTCGGCATGATGATGGATGGTCCCGGACGCACCCGCCTGCACCCCTAATTATAACCACTCAAGGGAGGCACGTGGTTCGTACTGTATAGCAAAATCTTCATGTATTTCTTTAAATATAGTGGACATCTCCTATAATCACATATGCAAAATAGAGATTTTGAGTGGTTATAATTAGAGGTGCAGGCGGATGCAATGAAATTGGGCTGGTTTGATTGCTACAAATAGGATGCAATGTATGCTCATATCATATGAATTTTCTTTGGTTTCATAGAGCTATGTCATTATATTCTTCTAGTATTGTTTGAATTATTCTTACCAATGAAACGATCTATTTGTGACAATCACTTACCATTTCTAAAGTTCCATTTTGGGTGGTTGTTTAAACAAAGAAGGATCCATTTTTTGGTGATTATATTGTTTTGCAAAGAAAGGTGTGGAAAGTCATCAAATTCCCACTTAAATGACAGCATCAAATGAATATTTGTTATTGTGTTTTTTTACTTAGTCTATATTTTAGCAATCGAAATTATATCTCTAGTGTTATATTTGAAGATGCATAATTTCTTTTACTATTTGTTTTTGCGGGTTCAATATATCATATTTCCAATACTTAGATCTTTCTTAAATTTTCATTATGATCTTTTGCGTTTCAAAATTTCACATTCAGACATAAAAAATAATCACAGTTTTTCTGATGACATTTAGAATAATTAATAAATATAAATACAAAAAAAGAGATCTCAAACTTCAATATTGAAATTATAGTTCACAATATGTAAATAAAATATTGTTTCAGTTGTTGAAAGTCCAAACTACTATACCCTGAATTACTTTATACTCCCTCCGTTTCAGTGCGTATAGATTTTTTAAAAAGTCAAACTTTACAAACTTCGATCAAGTTTATGAAAAAAACTATTTATATTTATAATATTTAAATATATAAAATACAAAACTACATCTTATGATAAATCTAATGACATATATTTGGCATTCTAGATGGTAATATGTTTCTCCATAGCCTAATCAAATTTGTGAGGTTTGACTTTATAAAAAAAAAAATCTACGATTGCTACATTATGAAACGGAGGGAGTATTTCCTTCGACCAACCAAGATAAAACAGAGATTACGCACGCATGATCGGACGGTTGAATCTCGCTGCATCGGACGGCTGGAGCTGGACTGACCCAACAGTTAGGCCGGTGCACCGGCGCAGATCACTGCCCTTTCATAATCTCTGTTTATGAACGTTCACTACATAGTAAAATCACATAGTAGTATAGCTCAAGTAGCTACGCTGACATCCACGTCACTGCTTATGAACGGCCGTCTACATAAGCAGCCTCCGACCTTTCTGCAAATCACTGCACCGCACACCACCTGCTCGATCAAATTACACCGCGCCCGAACAACGCCGCTAGCCTCCGGCCGCCTCCGCCCCTTCCGATGAGCTTTCTCGCCGGGCGCCTCGCCGCCCAGGAGGGCGCCTACTTCCTGCAGGAGTCCAAGCTCGCCGCCGGCCGCCTCGCGGCGAAGCTCCCCGCGTCCGCGCGTGGGCCCAGGCCGGCGTCCCCGCCTCCGTCGCCCGACGTGCTCCCGGAGATCCTCCGCCACTCCGTGCCCATCAGGCCTACGCCGCCTCCGGCTGACTCCACCCTCTACGGCTCCACTCGCTGGGTCCTCCCACAGGGCGGCGCCGAGACAGCCGGCGTGTCGCCCGACGTGCTCAACCCGCTCCGCTCGTACGTCGCTCTGCCGCAGGCCACCTTCGGCCCCAAAAGGTGCGGCTCTGCTGCCTTCAGTTCTGCTCCAATTTTTTCGCTCACAGTAGCTTTGAAATCGGGTGCTCGCTCGGGTCTGCGTACGTTCTGAATTGGGGAAAACGTGCACCCGATCATTCATGCTCGGATAATCAGCAAGGGATTAAGAATTTGTGCTTATGAGTGATGTATATTTTGATCCGTGAGAGCAATTGTTAGTTGCCTATAGTTGGTGTGGACGATATACCTGGGAAATCATATATATCACTGATGCACACGTTGGAAGAAAAACGGGCATATGAGCTTATGTGAGGTGCAGGGTGTGCTTTCATATGGAAACTGTTCCGAAAGTTGATTCTATTCACTCGATGCAATGAGCTATATGTGATTTTACACGGGTCACTTCAGAATGTACAGTCCGATAAATTTCATATGTGTTCCATATGTACTTCCGCACCTATGCTCTGCTCCCAATATTTTTGACCAAATCCTATTTGGTTTGGCTTCTAGAGTGGTTTTCCACTGAAAATAGCCGAATCCCAACCAAACAGCCTTTTCCTACCTTCAGTTTCCTAGCTTTGACCAAGGCACTTACTTCAGTTGCACGTAGGGCGCGAAGCAGCCAAGAGGTGCTTCTAGCAAGAAAACTGGCTTCCACGGAGCCCCGTTATGGAAACAAAATGCCACCGCACCCTACGAGGCTTCATAGAGCAGTTTTGCTGGTACAGCCAACCCAAAGTTGCTTCGAGTGAAGCCACAACCCAACCAAAAGGGTGTTAGTTCTAAGTTTCTAACTGAAAAACTTATGGCTTAGGTGGATTTCTTTAGTCAGTCTATAACTCAGGCTTTTCTCAGAGGAGGAAAAGAATGAAGGTGTGGGCAGGAAGGAGGAGAGAATTTGATAACCCAATGATTTTTTTTCCGTCTTTCATAATACGGTGATCTATCAAATCAATTCATGGATGAGAGTTATATTTCATGAAGTTTGTATATATACTTGCTACAAATCTCTAGCGACTTAAAGCATGTGGAGCTGAGCTAGAGTGGTAGGGATGTAAATGGAGTAAGGCAATAATACTGAAAAAGCAATTATAAATTTCGTCTGTAATTATCTGTCACTAGATAGTTGTGGACTTGTGGTCAAGCAAGAAGCCAATCACAAACCTACACTTCTATAAATCATGAATTTGAGACATTGTTATTTTATTTGCAGCCTGCTTTCTATAATGTCATAACGAGGGGTCTAAAGTGGTCATTTTTTTAGCACGTGCATAAGCACTCGTTATGAGTCCTCTAGGAATGCAATTTCGTACTTGCACTGTTGCACATACCAGAAACAGAACCGTAAATATATAATGGCTCAACCTTTGTACTAGTTGGTTAGAGAACTCAACTTGATACTAGAGCAAGAGGTTATGTGCTACCTCCTTCATTTATTCATTTTTACAAGATGAACACACTGTTTAAGATTAAAACTTTGCAACGTTGATCAACAATTAGTTCTACATACTGAGTGCTGCAAATGGTACCATGAGATTTTTAGCAGGAGTACTGCTTCCTAAATTTAAAGAAAACTATCTCTTCTCAGTGTACCATGTAGTAGTCCTACATATTGAGAGCTGTTCTGCCTGGCCATTCTGTGAGGTAATTAAGTTAACGCTGTAAAACCTAACTTGATGATTCATTTTCATATTTTTCTGTCTTTGTCATGAATTTACAGATGGGAACTTCCAACTGAGCAGCCTTACTACTCGGCGGCAACCGCCAATGAGCGGCGACGTGATATGCATCCTCCTCCCATGGACCCTGAGAAGTTGAAGGCTGTAATTGATGGATACTCACAGGGTATGTAATTATGCCAGAAAATTTTGTGTTGTGGTGTTGTTCAAGATCTGTTGTTCTCACCTTTTCATTGACGCAGTTGGAAAGGCATTTCTTGCTGGGACTGTTTTGGTGTTTGGAGGAGCAACAGCTGTGCTGCTGTACACTGCCAATAAGCTACAGTTGCATTCAGTAAGTCACGGAACTTGCTCTAGACTGAAATATACAAGAGTAAATATACTTCCTACCTTCAAGAAAAAGAAAAAAAAATGCCATATCAGATCGCAATAAAAATTCTAGGTTCTGTGGTTACTGCATGATCTTCACCTGTCTTGTTTGAGATTTATGATTTGTATTCGAGTTTTGTACTTCCATTGTTTTCCTGTCTTCAGTTTTTCATGTATTAATTTCCAAAATATGTGGTTTTCAAAATTGTTATGCTCCTTCAGCATCTTTTAGTTAATACGTAGTCATTGGCATACTTAAAATGGTAAAGAACCAACTTGTGCCCATCCATATGTCAGTGTAGATAAAACCAACTTTGGATAAGCCGACGTCAACATACTAATCAGCATCCTTGATAATAACAATGAACAACAAAAGAGATGGAAGTCAAGACATCTAATTGACAAATATCCTCTCTGAAACAACACTGGTATCCCCTTTCAGGTAGACGACGTCAAAGCTAAAGGAAAAGACGCAGTGCAACCACATGCCGATATGATCAAAGAACAGATAGCTCCACTGAGGAAATGGGTAACCAAACTTCGGAACCCATCCTTTGTTTCTGGCTGTCGTATTGATCCTCTCGTCTTGATTGTACTTCAGAGTTGGTCTTGCTCTGGTTTCTTCTGTTTATTGTACAGTAACACAATTGACATGCCGTTTCCACACACTGAAATTGCAGGCCGAGGACACGTCCCGGAAATGGCATTACGAAGCCGACAGAGAGTCCGGGGAGAAGTCTGTCCTTGTTAGAGAGCTGTCAAGAGCACTCGGTGCTAAGACACGCTCGAATTGATCAATACTACGGGCGAGTGGCTGTTGTCGTTGTTGTTGTAACCTGTAAGTCCACCGTTATGAAGCTTTCTCTTGTTTTACGTGTCTGCCTTGTCTATATGTGTAAGGCTACAAGGAACGAAATCAATGTACATATTTTACCCCTATGTTAAATAAAGCAGAGTCCATTTTGATGTGGGGAGGCTATAGCTGGTATTGGTCGGGGCTTGTGTTTATCTGCAGCCCTTATTCAGTGCTGACGCAAATTTGCCACGCTAGTGAAGAGAAGCTGTACAAAGACGTATCTATCCCCGCGTGCTAAACCGATGCGGGTGAGCACTGCAGCAGGTTCTGCTGTAGCCCCCGTTGATCATGCGCGTGCATTCCACCACAAGGAGGCCGGGCTGAGGGTGTCCGAGAGTTCAGACCTGCCACTGAAGCTCTGAAATGGCTGGGCGTGTAGTTTACTGGTGTCCGGTGAACGGCGCGCGTCCGTTTGCCGCGGCCGGCCTCAGCTTGTCTCGCCGCCAGCGGGCAGCGGGGCGCGACCATGCCTAGCTGGTACTGTCTGCATTGTGTTTTTCAGAGTGCGAGGCTGTTAGAGTTGGCTTCTTCTTTATCTTCTTCTTCATCTTCTTCTTCTTAATCTTCTTCTTCTTCTTCTTCTTAATCTTCTTCTTCTTCTTCTTCTTCTTCTTCTTCTTCTTCTTCTTCTTCTTCTTCAATACCTTGAAAATTGTCTTGCTGGATCTCTGGAATGTGTTGTGAATAACTCCGAACCTTTAATTATGACCTACAACATGAAAGAGCATTCCTACTCGCTCTTCCATAAAGTTGTGGATGCTATCTTTTAGCAACCCATTGGTCGTAAACATCTCCACTAACTTGTCAAAAGGTCTTTTCACATTTGAAGGATGTTCACAGCCTCTACGTCGTTGCTATTGTAAATGTACTTCAGATTCGCCATCTTCTTCCTATCTCAGGGTAACAATGAATCATAACGGATCACATGTTTATCACTCTAACGAACCACTCTTCTGTGGACCAACATGGCCTAGGCCTGAATCACAATTATAAGTGATGTTGCATAAACAACCAGATTCATCCTTTCACTGATGTGACAGTAAGTAATGGCTAAGTGTGGATGTATGGTCCTTGTCGCCATCGAAGCCGATGATGCGACCATGTTTGGAGACGAGGGAAACGAGACGTAGATGGAGGCGAAGGGGATAAGCAGGTCATGCCGCCGGAGATGAGTGAGTAAATGGGGGTGAGGCTAGATTTTGTGCCATCGTGCGCCGACAGATTTTGGTCTCCTATCATCTTCATGCCGATTCCCTCCTGCACCACCGCGTACTTTGTGCCCCCTTTTGCGCTCGAATTAGTCTAGCTCGCTGAAAACTCCCGATTCGAGGGTTTCTAATAGAATTGCTTTAAGGTTTGTGCGCGTGCAAAACAACTCTCATGTATGCAACCAAACTGTTTTCTTTACACTCAATGAATCTGTTTGAGCTAATGCAGACTACCCACCATGCATCAATAGCGCACAAAACATGTGGGTGACGCGCTGGCGGCAAGGGCGTGGGGATCCGGGATGCCATTGTTGACGCCGGCCGGGTGCGGCCATCCCGTGTCCTGCTGTCGGAGTCAAGCTAGGGGAGCGCCCGCGGGAAAGGAGACTCGCTCGGCGGCGCCCACCCCCCACGTGAAAGACTCGGAGCTTCGTGCCCTGCCCACCCACCACGTGAAAGACTCGGAGCTTCGGGCGTGTTCTGAACTCCTGCAACTTCTGAAAACTTCCCAGATTCTGCTTCCTCACGTAGCTTCTCACTTCACGTAGCGATGGGAAAGCGTTCGGGAGCTCTAGTGGCTTCTCCCAGCGGTGCAGCCCATCTGGGAGCTAGCTGGCCTAGTTGGGCTCCAGTTTGGGCCGGTTGGAGGCAGCCCAACTTGGTGGTTCAGCCAGAGAAGGAGCCCTCGTACCGATTCCATCGAGGGAGCGAAGAGCGATCTGTTACGGAAAATCCTATTCGCCGCTCGCTGCGGCAAACTGTCGAGCGATCGCACAGGGGCAGCGCAGCGAGCGAAGAAATGGGCCGGCCCACACATAATGCGTCCAAACCGGTTTTGGGAACCTTCCAGAAGGTTCCCTAAACCGGGTGTTTTTCCTGTATCGTTTTTTCCTGGTTCTTTTTCGGCTTTCTATCGTTTTTTATTTTTCTTTTTTTCGTTTCTGTTTCTTTTTCATTTTTTCGTTTTTTGTTTCTTGTTTCACTTTCTTTTTCAAGTTTATTTTTCTTTTTCAGAATATGTTCATAGTTTTACAAAATGTTTATGATTTTCTTTTTTATTTCCTTTTCTTTTCTTCTCTTTATTTAAAAAAAATCAAAAATTTAAATTTTATTCGTGTTACCAAAAAATGTTCTCAAAATTCAAAATTTGTTCTCGTTACACAACAAAGTACAAAACTTCTGAAATTCAGAAAATGTACTGAATTTTAATTTTTTGTTCACATATTCAAAAAATGTTCGCGCTTCCAAATTTGTCCGGGATTTTTCAAAATTTCTCTCCGTTTCAAAAATTGTTCTCAAGATTCAAAAAATGTTCGTGCATTAGAAAATTGTTCAGACTTCCAAATTTGTTCGGAATTTTTCAAAATTTCTCTCCGTTTCAAAATATGTTCCCAAGATTCAAAAAATGTTCGTGCTTCAAAAAATTGTTCGTGCTTCCAAATTTGTTCAGGATTTTTTAAAACTGTTCACCATTTCAAAATTTGTTCTCAAGATTCAAAATATTTTCGTTTTTACTGTTTGTTTTCTTTCTTTGGTTTCTTATTTCTTTTTCTTTTTCCTTTCTCTTTTTTTTCAAAATATTCAAATTTTGTTTGCCTTTCCATAAAATGTTCAGTTTTTTAGAAATTGTTATCAAAATTCAAAAATTGTTCTCGTTACACAAAAAAGTGCAAAACTTTCGAAATTAATATAATGTACCGGACTTCAAATTTTTTGTTCAGGTTTTCAAAAAATGTTTGCGCTTCCAATATATTCGGGATTTTTCAAATTTGTTCTCTATTTCAAAATTTGTTCTCAATATCCAAAAAATGTTCGTGCTTTAAGAAATTGTTCGCGCTTCCAAATTTGTTCTACGTTTCAAAAATTGTTCTCAAGATTCAAAAAAAAATGTTCATGCTTTGAAAAAAAATCCGTGCTTCCAAGTTTGTTCTCTGTTTCAAATTTTGTTCTCAAGATTAAAATAATGTCCGTTTCTTTAAAGAATGTTCATGTTCAAATTTTGTTCTCAAATTTCCTCGCTTACAAATTTGTTCTCTGATTCAAAATTTGTTCTCAAGATTAAAAAAATGTTCGTGCTTTAAAAAATGTTCATGTACAAATTTTGTTCTCTAAATTCAAAAAATGTTCGGGATTTTAAAAAATGTTCAGTTTATCAAAAATTTGTTCAAGCCTTTTAGTTTTTCTTCTAAAATTTGGAAAGTGTTCGCTTTTTAAGAAACACCTTTTCAAAATAATTTTCGCGTTAGGAATTTCAGAAAATGTTCGGGCCTCCTTTACATTTATCTCCGCACGCCATATCAAATCAAGGAGGGTTGTCTATCGCGATGGCTATGGTCGTTCGTTGAAAGTTGGAGGTCCCTGGTTCGATCCCTCTCTCGAGCAGAGTTTTTTTGTGATTTTTTCACTGCGTTGCGCGAATGGGCCGGCCCAGCTGGAGACGCGCATGTGCGTCCGCTCGACAATTCGCCGCAGCGAGCGGCGCATAGGAGCTCTCATCTGTTACAGCGAGCGTACCGGTTCGATCGGAATTGACTTGGCGGTGGCAGCTCCTTGTAAATTCGGTGAACTTCTCCTTTTCCAAATCGGTGGATCTGGGCTTTTGGTACTCCGTGTTTTTACACTGGAGTCCGACTGAGCTTCTCGCTTCTAGCTTCTTGGCAGTAATTCATTCGGCTCAGCTTCCCTCCATAAATCCGTGAAGCGTGGAGCTGGAGAGCCTCCGAACACGCCCGATTCGTGCCCTGCCCACCCACAATAGGCAGTAGTGGTAGATGTAAAAACCACTGGTCTGATTTAATTTTTGGAATCTGCAATTTGTAATTGACTCGATTTTGCTGGTCAACTACTCGACGCAATAGTTATTCTTACAGATTTGTCTATTGCTGCTTGTTTTTTTGTGCCAAGCTTGATTTGCGTTGCCCGTTGCTTCCAGTGTCGTAGCTGTCTTTTTTCTTCGGCCTCGTACGTGTGCTGCTTTCATCGATTGTTTTTGGCCCGCTGTCCCTGTGTCTGTTTGGGCCTGTTTTTGGCCCGTTGTCCTAGTTGAAAGTCCACCATCGAATCGTAACTAGGCTCATAGTTGTCCGAGTACCATGTCCACCTTCGGCTCACAACTAGAGCTTGTGTTTTGTTTTTCATCCCGGTTCCGAGTCCACCCTTTGACTCACAAGTGGGCCCATAGTTTGTTTCATTCCAGTTACAAGTCGATACTTGACTTGCAACTAGGCTTATAGTTTCGTAGTTATCTTAGTCGCAAGTCCACCCTCGTGACTCGCAACTCATATCGTAGTTTCGTGTAGGTGTCCTAGTTGTACGTCCACCCTCGACTCGCAACTCGTATCGTAGTTTTGTGTAGTTGTCCCAGTTGCAAGTAGACCCTCGACTCCAAACTAGGCCCGTAGTTTGTTTCATCTCAGTTCCAAGCCCATCCTTGACTCGCAACTCAGCCCGTGTTTAGTTTCACATGCCGGTTGTAGGCCCACCCATGACTCATAACTGGGCCTGCAGTTTGTTCGCCCCAGTTGCATGTCGATACTTGACTCGCAACTGGGCTCGTAGTTCTGTACTTGTCCTAGATGTAAGTCCGCCCTCGTGACCCGCAACTCGGCATGTGTTCTCTTTCATCCTGGTTGTAGGTCCACCCTCGACTCGCAACTAGGCTGGTAGTTTGTTTCATCCCAGTTGCGAGTCGACCCTTGACTCGCAACTAGGCTCGTAGTTTCATAGTTAT